TGCATCAAACTACCAGCAAAGTTAATACCCGATTAGACAGGAAACAGCGCATATATCGACGGGCGAACCCACCGACAATATACGTGCCTGAATTCAAAGTACCAAGCTTGAGATACTAGCAGCGTACAATTGTACCCAAATACGAGGCCAGACGCTTTCTATGAGTACACGAATCTTGCGATTCGATTTTCATTTTGCCAATCAGTACCTAATCGTAGTTCACGCATTTACCGTCAATACGCCCAATATAATCTACAAGAAATTATACCAGACTACCTACGCTAAAGTGCACAAATTGTTTCGCTTACGCGCAACAAGTTTCCCTGTCAACGCGCAAACTGTATCCATGATTAGCCGTCTAATTGGTTGCAGTGTACGCTTACAGTAGCGAGACAAGCAAAAATACGCTAAAACCATTGCTGATCTTAGCTGAATTTGCGCCTCGTATTCTACGAAACGACTTCGTGGCTCCACTCGTTTTCCAGCTAGCGGTTTCACGCCCTGTTTAACTCTCTCTTCAAAGTACTTTGCAACTTTCCCTCACGGTACTTGTTTGCTATCGGTGTCGTAGCCGTATTTAAATAGCCTTACGAGCAGTTTACCTCGCTCTTTAGGTTGCACTCTCAAGCAACCCGACTCTAACAAATCGCAACGCCGGTTTGACCCGACGCCACTGCCCCGGTTCGTAGCATCAATACCTGCGCATTAAGGGGCTTTCACCCTCTATGGCTCATCCACGGATCCAAGTTGCCCCAAACCCGTAGACATCTCAATTAAGAATAAGCCCAAGTCAATGGGACTTGTACGCTAGGCCGAAAGCAGCCTATGGCGAACCATAGACTACATTGACACTACTAAAACACCAAGGTTTGTAACGCTGCACCGCTTAATGTTTGTTATACGATTGCCTTGCGACAACCACATTAAGCCTTAGCGCTAGGCTTATCCCTGTTCACTCGCCGTTACTTGGGGAATCGCTTTTGCTTTCTTTTCCTCCGCTTAATTATATGCTTAAATTTGGCGGGTAATCTTGCCTGATATGAGGTCGAAAACGATAGTTTTCAAACACAATCGCTATCGTATATGGCGTTGTAGTTCATGCAAGTATCGTTTGCACGAAACTGTTGTATAATGTTGTAGCCGGTTCTTGTTAGTTCAAGCATGATAAAGCATCGTCTCAGTAAAGCCTTGATTGCGATTTCGATGCACACAAAATCGTTGTTATGGTGTAGCAATACGAATCGTTAATATACATACTTGAATTATCAATTGCATGTATATGCATGTCGATATTGCTGCGCGACAACCGTTTGTGTTTGGTGGTAGACAGTGTGTGTATGAGGGAATATATCCCACACACACGTACATGCGCACCAAGATAGAACAAATCCGCACGTAGCAGTTTTCAACGATACACATAGCGAGAACGACCGAGAAACAGCAATACAACTCGCGCCTTGCATGATCAAATCACATACGATAGGCAAAAGTGTTTGTTGTTTGTTATCTACTATTGTGGTATTGGCCTACCAAGATTTCAAAGCATCTCATGAGAGAAGCGAGTGAGAGCGCACAAAACACACACACACACACGCACATAACCCTATAAGCGTGTACGAACATATCGACTTGCCTCTTTACTTGTTGCACAAAAGCTCTATGGCGATTGTACATCGTTCAAGTTGACGAAATGGTTCACATTATATGTCATATGTATGTATGTATGTGCGTATCGCGTGCATATTCACAAGCATCATGGAGACTTTAGCTTCTATTATCTTGCAATAGTCCGTGGTTATATATTCATACTCGCGAAGCGTCTTTTATTTTGCATTACGTATGTCTTTTTTGGACGCACGTAAAAAAAACAACGAAACACGAGTTCGTATCGGTACTAACCGACCCTCATACAGACAGGGCTTTCATTGTTGCCAACGAAAGCCGCAATATGCGTTCGAATATCAAGCGCTCAGCGTGTCCTGCAATTCGCGCCGCCTATCGCAGTCTAGCTGCGTTCTTCATCGATCTACGACCCAAGTGATCCACCGCTAACTGTGGTTTTTTATGTTATTTGTTTTTGTATATATAAGATGTGTTACTACTATATATTCGCACTATTTAGGTACGAACAATCGTAGTAATAATGGTTGTTTTTCACGTAGTGAATTGGTTGATCGGTAAAAACCAACGGTGATACGGTAAGGTTGGCTAGTCAGTGAAAAGGGCCACGCAAGCATCAAACTATAAACGTGCCTAACACAGTCCACATGTATTGCGCGCACAACATGTTGCACGCCTCGATCAGAAGTTGACTAGCAACTTTAACCGCATCGGCTTTCGGGCTTGTACCAGGGCCATTGCTCTTCGCAATCTCAGAAGCGCCTGCAAGCCCTAACTTCAATGAAATAGTACGAGCGTTTCCGAACAATACGGCTTGGTGGCGTGTGATTTTTATGTACACATATAGCACCGGCTGATTGTATTTTCAACAACACGTACACGTTTCATGAACACGAAACATCGGGTAGTCGGTGTGTTTAGGACCGACTGACACACAACGTCGTGGACACGTTTGTTGTGGTATCTATATTCAAACACTCATGGTGAACACTGTTATTGCAAGTGCAACATGTTGCTTGAAAAAGCTTGTAATGATCCTTCCGCAGGTTCACCTACGGAAACCTTGTTACGACTTTTACTTCCTCTAAATGATCAAGTTTGATCATCTTCCCAGCTTTGCACAATAATATGACCGAGATCAATCATCGTGCAAGCCAGTCCAAAGACCTCACTAAATCATTCAATCGGTAGTAGCGACGGGCGGTGTGTACAAAGGGCAGGGACGTAATCAACGCAATATGATGAATTGCGCTTACTGGGGATTCCTCGTTCATGGAAAACAATTGCAATTCCCAATCCCAAATCACGGTAGAGTTTCAAAGGATTGCCCAGGCTTTTCAGCCAAGGTTTTTTCAAACAATAAATCCTCGACTCACACCAGCCAACGTGCGTACACGATCAAGGTTGCCCCTCCTGTATACGCAGAAAGCTGGTAGAATTTCGAAGCAATTGTTTAAATTAAGCATGCTGCCTCTACCAGTGTAGCACGCGTGCGGCCTAGAGTATCTAAGGGCATCACAGACCTGTTATTGCCTCATTTATTACGGCTAAAACACCGTTTATCCCGCTAAGAAGTTATAGTCCAGCAGTGGGCCTACTCTACGCCATGACCGGCCATACGCATATTGCTACACGCACAACAGGCCAAAAACGTAAAGCGTTTGATATCCCAAATGATGAACTAAACTAGTTAGTAGGTCGAGGTCTCACTCGTTATCGCAATTAAGCAGACGAATCATTCTACGAATCAAGAACGGCCATGCACCACCACTCGCTGAATCAAGAAAGAGCTATTAATCTGTCAATCATTCCAGCGTTCTAATCTAGTAAGTTTCCCCGTGTTGAGTCAAATTAAGCCGCAGGCTCCACCCCTGGTGGTGCCCTTCCGTCAATTCCTTTAAGTTTCAACTTTGCAATCATACTTCCCCCGGAACCGAAAAACTTTGGTTTCCCGCGAAGCCGCCAGGCGAATCATTTGTTATTTAAAAAATTCAGCCTGATTGCTAGTTGGCATCGTTTATGGTTAGAACTAGGGCGGTATCTGATCGCCTTCGAACCTCTAACTTTCGTTCTTGATTAATGAGAACATTCTAGGCAAATGCTTTCGCTTTAGTTCGTCTTGCTTCGGTCTAAGAATTTCACCTCTAGCGAAGCAGTACGAATGCCCCCGTCTGTCCCTATTAACCATTGCCTCGATTCACATGTTCGTGTTAATTAGCAAGGCTTTACGAGGGACTACGTTTGCATGATTTGAGTAGTTACAATAGGTTCGCGATGCACACTTAAAAGCGTGATAACACTAAACTTATCGCAACCAAAACCATACAAACAATAATCCACCAAGCTAACAACATGAATTGAACATATGAACTTGTTTGTTGTTCTACAAGACCAACAGAATAGAACCGAGGCCATATTCTATTATTCCATGCAACATTATTCAAACATAAATGCAAGCCTTGCGACCCGCGATGTCTGCTTTGAGCACTCTAATTTTCTCAAGGTAAACATGCTGACCATTGTAGCGTAACATACGAGATGCTACTAGCCAATGATACAGCCTGCTTCGTCCTAATAAAAAGTGACGAAACGACCAGCTAGCAAATAGCTAACACCCGACTATGACCCGGTGGCAACGCCTAAACGCGCCCCAAACCGATAGCCGTTGAATAGTGCAGCTTTGCTAACAATAGGTCTGAAATCCAACTACGAGCTTTTTAACCGCAGCAACTTTAATATACGCTATTGGAGCTGGAATTACCGCGGCTGCTGGCACCAGACTTGCCCTCCAATTGGTACTCGTTAACGTATTTACGGTGTACTCATTCCAATTGTAGATCCTATAAAAAGAACCTACATCGTTATTTTTCTTCACTACTTCGCCGAGCTGGCATTGAGTAATTTGCGCGCCTGCTGCCTTCCTTGGATGTGCTAGCCGTTTCTCAGGCTTGCTCTCCGGAGTCGAGCCCTAACTCCCCGTTACCCGTTACAACCATGGTAAACATATAATTTACCATCGACAGTTGATAGATCAGACACTCGAATGATTTGCCCTCGGCACTATGTGGTTGCCCACGGGCCATAGGGTCAGCATCATGGTTTTTAGGCCATTAGTTATCCAGAGTCACCATATTTGTAGGGTGCAAGCACCCATTGGTCTTGGTCTAATAAACGCACCGCTTCTTAGTAAAAAGTCGCGGCTTTTGTGCATGTATTAGCTCTAGAATTACCACAGTTATCCATGTAGACAGTCAACATCAAATAGATCATGACTGTTTTAATGAGCCATTCGCGGTTTCGCCTTAGTTAGGCATGTACTTAGACATGCATGGCTTAATCTTCGAGACAAGCATATGACTACTGGCAGGATCAACCAGGTA